AAAAAAAAAAAAAAAAAAAATTTCTCTGGCCTACGCGCTGGCAATAGTGGCCCATTCGCTGTCTAGGGTGAATGTATCCTGCTTTATAAAGCTTTCTTACCCTGTGAACCTATCTTTTTCTTCCTCGATAAACTTTGTTTCATGCTTGCCTTAAGAAAAAAAAAAAAACTTCTGCAAGGACATTTGCCCAGCAATTGTCTATCCAGCCTCAGAATGGCATCACCCTTATTACTGATCTTTGCAGCCAAGGATAATTATTTCAAAAATAATTACATAATCCTCCTCATTTTTTCCTTTTAAAAGCCTTTATCTCCTGGAATATGCACATAGTTTACTATGGCATGGGTATTTCCATAGCAGCGCTCTATTCCCAAATAAATGTCCTTTCTTTTTATTCATAAGTGTAGCTAAGTTCCTCATACCATGTATAGCTTGAGTTAATTTCCAACACATATCTTGAAGAACTTAACTATACTTAAGTAGTAAGAGAAGACACAGGGTAGAGTAAGGCAAGAAAGGATGGACAGGAAATAATAACAATGAAGCAAAAGAATAATGCTTAGAAAGAATTACAGAGGTTATTTAGGTTGACACCAACAACACAGTACTAATTAAATAAGGTATCCAATATACATATAATGGAACTCCAAGCAGACATTAAAATGAGAAATTTATTGATATCAAGGGCTATTCACAGTATTTTAAGTGAAAAATACAAATTATAGTCTATGTCCAAGTAAACGTTTATGACTACCTTTGGGCAACAGAATGACAGAAGGAGAGACAAGGGTACTTTACACGGTCTCTATTAGTTGAACCTCTTAAAACATCCATCTGTTCATAATTGCTCTTTATCCTCTTACAGTGTTTAATTTTTAATAATATTTCACTTCCTGATATATTATATAGTTGATTATTTCCTACATTCTACTCTAGAATTTCAGCTCAAAGGTACGACTATTATCATCACTATATCCCCAATGCTTGACACTTAGTAGGTGCTCAATTAGCATGCCTTGAGTTAAATGACTTTCTCAATAAATACATATAACTTTTAGATTAAAAATTTTTTTAAGTTCATGATGGGGTTCCTAGAAACAGTATGACTAACAAATATGAAGAAAACATGAAAGGCATAAAGGGAATGCAGACCTGGAGTTCCCAGCAGACTGAAGATAGGGAAGAGAAAAAGAAACTAAAACTCTTATTCCTCAGGTTTTTAGCAGTATCATTTTGTTTCTCAAATATCAAGATACTCTCAATTGAAAATCTATTTTAATTCTTTAATTACCATTAAATGACTTAGCACCTACTAACTCAAGGCCATGTGCCAAGCCTCTGTATAGGAAGAGAATATAGATATCAGTAATATCAAAGAGATAATTAAATAAGAAAATTATCCAGGTACCAAAATTTCACACATTGTTTAAGATTCACGGGAAAAGACATATGCTCCCTTAGATTTTTTTATACATGTAATAACTAAAAAAGTGAATGATATGTGAGATTCAAAGGAACAAGTTATCACTGTGGTCTGATACTCTGATATAGAGAAAAGAAGGATTTAATTGGTATTTTTAAAAAAAAACGGAAGTGGGGTACAGTGACTTATTCCTGTAATCCCAATACTTCTGCAGGCCAAGGCAGGAGGATTTCTGAAGGCCAGGAGTTGCAGACCAACCTGGGCAAAACAGTAGGGCTCTTGTTTTTACAAAAACATCAAAAAAGCAGCTGGGCATGGTGGCATCACCTGTCGTCCTAGCTGCTTAGAAGGCTGAAGCAGAACAGAAATTGAATGTTACAGTAAGCTATGATTGTGTTCCAATTATCAAAGCTCAAGATGGCAGAAATGGTGAGAAAGATATGGATATTTTCTTTCTTTTTTTTTTTTTTTTTTGAGACGGAGCCTCAAGCTATCCCCCTGGGTAGAGTGACATGGCATCACGCTCACAGCAACCTCCAACTCCTGGGCTCAAGCGAGTCTCCTGCCTCAGCCTCCCAAGTAGCCGGGACTACAGGCGCCCGCCACAACGCCTGGCAATTTTTTGGTTGCAGCCATCATTGTTGCTTCGTGGGCCCAGGCTGGGGATTCGAACCCGCCACCTTAGGTGTATGTGGCTGGCGCCTTAGCCGCTTGAGCCACAGGCGCTGAGCCGATACGGATATTTTCAAAAAATATTTCAAAGTCTATATCTAGTTTTATGATTAAACAGGACATAGAAGGCAGAAGTTAGAGATAATTAGGATTCTACACTTACAAGGATGAGAGAATGGTGGTACTATTGATGGAAGGAAGTCTGATCAGTATGGCTTTAGACATGTTGAGTCTGAAGAAGCAAAGAGAAATCTAAATGGAAACTCAGCTAAAAAACAATTAAGAGACTTAAACCAAAATGCAAAGCAGGCCAAAGCAGGAGAGAAAGACTGAATTAAGCCAAGAAGAGTGAAAAGGAGGCTAGAAGAATGTGCCCATATTTAAGAAAAGACATAAAGGTTTCAAAAAGGCAGAGACAGAGAGGCAAAAAAGGTGGATGGGAAATAAAAACAATGAAGCATAACAGCCAAGGAAAGAAGAACAGTTCTAGAAGGAAAAACTACAAACTCTAAAACAACAGAGTCAAGAAAATAAGAACTCAAATGAAGTCCCTGAATGAGAAGGAAGATAATGACGATAATGACCTTAGAAAAACAGGTTCAGCAAAAAGGTAGAGGTAAAAGGGAGATTATAGTGGGCTATAGGAAGGAATGGAAGAAAACAAAGTTGAAGCAGCCAACGCAGTTAGTCTTTCAAAAGTAAACACAGTGAAATCCAAGTACAGACACAAATGTAGGAGCTCAAAAAAAATCAAAAATATAGTATAAGGAATACGTGACTAACAGTTTTCTCTACTAAGCAAAAAGCAATCATTGGTATTAATTCATTGGACTTTCTCTTTCTCCAACAAAGGAATATATCTTTTGGTCATGTGTTAATTTTTTTTTTCTTTGAGACAGAGTCTCACTATGTCACCCTCAGTAGAGTGCCATGCAGTCATAGCTCACAGCAACCTCAAACTCTTGGGTTTAAGCAATTCTCTTGCCTCAACCTCCCAAGTAGCTGGGACTACAGGCACCTGTCACAACGCCCAGCTATTTTTATTGTTGTAGTTGTCATTGTTGTTTGGCAGGCCCAGGCCAGGTTTGAACCTCCCAGCCTTGGTGTATGTGGCCAGCGCCCTAGCCGCTGAGGTACAGGTGCCAGGCGCCTCATTTGTTAATTTTTTTTTCTCATGTGTTAATTTTAAACATATCCCATTAAACATACAAACTGTGTAGTATCAAAGAAAATCTATTACTATAGCCAGTATATAGACATGTATTACAAAGCAAGGTATTTTCATTCTGAATTTAGCACATAAAAGTATTAACTGATAAACTTGAGAAAGTGCACCTATATTTGGTTTCTTTCTCTTTTCAAGACAAACTTTTTTTTCTTTTTTTTAATCTTAAATTCTTCAGTTTTGTGAATGACCACTGTCAAGTTCTTTTTTGTGTGTGGTTTTTTGCCAGGGCGGGGTTTGAACCTGCCACCTCCGGCATATGAGGCCAGCACCCTACTCCTTGATCCACAGGTGCCGCCCCAAGACAAACTTTTAAGACTAGAGTTTGTTTCACTTAAAAACAAAAAACTAAAACAGGTCTTTGAAGGCAAATAGTAAAGTACATAAATCATGGGATTCAGAACCTAAGTATAAGCCAACAAAGTCAATTACTTATGATGGAAACAATCAAGTTACATATGGAAGTAATAGGTTACTTCAGATCCTTTCTGAAATATAGGTAGAAGGAAAGTAAGAAAATGGCAGAATATCATAATTAGATGAAAGATTAAAAAGATGAAAAAAAAAAAAAAGAAAAGCCACTTACTTTTAGAATTTCATCTACACAGCTCACATCACCAGAAGCTGATGCCTTAAGAGAGAAAGAAGCACACATTAGATTTGGAGTAATTTATTACTAGATCTTTAGTATTTGCTTCACAGATTTAAAAGTATTATTAGAAGTATTTATGATCCCACTACTCTAAATCACAACAGTAGTCAGAATGTTTTGGAATAATTTCTTTAAATACAAACTTTTCAAGCACCAGAATTCTTTTTTTCTTTTTTTTTTTTTGAGACAGAGTCTCAAGCTATCGCACTGGGTAGAGTGCCGTGAGGTCACAGCTCATAGCAACCTCAAACTCTTGGGATTGAGATTCAAGCCTCCCAAGTAGCTGGGACCACAAGTGCCTGCACAACACCCAGCTATTTTTTTTTTCTTATTGTTGTTGCTGTTGTCATTGTTGTTTTAGCTGGCTGGGGTGGGTTTGAACCTGCCAGCCTCGGTATAGGTGGCCAGTGCCCTACCCACTGAGCTAGGGCGCCACCAGCACCAGAAACTTTTAATCAACTCAACAAACTCTATCATAGCTTGAAGAACTTTACATTTTTCAAAGGTTTTAAAATTTCTATCTCCCTTATACTTTTGATTAAGAATAATTTTTAAGGGTGGCACCTGTGGTTCAGTGTGTAGGACGCTGGCCCCATATACCAAGGACCCGGCCAAACTGCAACAAAAAAAATAGCCAGGCATTGTGGTGAGTGCCCGTGGTCTCAGCTACTCAGGAGGCTGAGGCAGAAGAATCACCTAAGCCCAAGAGCTGGAGGTTGCTGTGAGATATGATGCCACGGCATTCTACCGACGGTGACAAAGTGAGACTCTGTCTCAAAAAAAGAAAAGAAAAGAATAATTTTTAAAATGTAATTTTACAGGTGAGTAGCTGCCCCCAAATCTTAAAGTTTAGTTATATACACAATATACCATAATACTGAAATAATCACTTCACATACTACTAACAGAGTAAAACAATTATTACTAAATGATTATTAGTCTGGAATGTGGAACATTTTTCATAGTCTTTCTTAAATCACAGAAGGTTGAGTTGCTTATTCTAAGCACAAATAGAAATCAGAGATGAGGCTGAGTGTGGTGGCTCATGCCTATAATCCTGGCACTCTGGGAGGCCGAGGTGGGTAGATTGCCTGAGCTCATAGGTTCGAAACCAACCTGAGCAAAAGTGAGACCTTGTCTCTAAAAACAGCCAGGTGTTGTGATGGGTGCCTGTATTCCCAGCTACTTGGGAGCCTGAGGCAAGAGAATCACTTGGGCCCAAGAGTTTGAGGTTGCTGTAAGCTATGATGCCCCAGCATTCTACCAAGGGTGACAAAGTGAGACTCTGCCTCAAAAAAAAGAAAAGAAAAGAAATTAAAGATGAACTTAAGTTTAACTCTAGAGATCATGTTATTTACATAACTCTCCTGGGAGGAGTATTTGGATGACAAATGTTACTACCAATGAGTTACCCAAGGCCACAGGAAAGACTTTTGTAATGTTCTCAAAATAGTATTATAAACACTGTAGGCTCAGCGCCTATAGCTCAACCGGCTAAGGCGCCAGCCATGTACACCCAAGGTGGCGGGTTCGAATCCCCAGCCCGGACCCGCCAAACAACAATGACGGCTGCAACCAAAAAAAAAAATAGCCGGGCGTTGTGGCGGGCGCCTGTGGTCCCAGCTTCTTGGGAGGCGGAGGCAGGAGACTCGCTTGAGCCCAGGAGTTGGAGGTTGCTGTGAGCTGTAATGCCACGGCACTCTACCCAGGAGGATAGCTTGAGGCTCTGTCTCAAAAAAAAAAAATAAATAAATAAACACTGTAAATTTCTAACTACCAGTATGACTCTGGAGCAGTTGTTTCTATCCTTTAATAGTGGTTCTTAACCTTCCCAACACCGCGAACCTTTAATACAGTTCCTTACGTTGTGGTGACCCCCAACCATAAAATTATTTTCGTAGCAATTTTTAGGAGCTATAGTAAAGGGTCACGGCATTAGGAAGGTTGAAAACCACTGCTTTAAGTTTAACTAGAGGAAAGGATTCTAGCATCCAAACTATACAACATTACTATTTCCATGGACCTGAAATTCCCAGTATTTATCACCATGAACTATGGCCTACATCTCTTTCATGAGAATCTCTATGGAAATAGAGAAGTTGATTTTCTTTTTAAATCAAAGAAAAAGTGTGTAATTCCACAAAAATCAATAGGAGGAAGTCTAAGGTACTAATGGATCCTGCTTTTATACTATAACTGACTTGTCATTTTCTCCAGAGCTTATCACCTTTCTACACTAATCACCTCCTTAAATTGACCTAATATTCACAAATTAGACATGTACATATCAGGACATCAGGCCTATTTCCTTAGGCTGACCACCTCCATATGTTGACCAATCTGTTACAGTTCCTTAAGTGGTCAACTTACAGAACTTCTACTGTCTTGAAAACCATGAATGCCAGGCCAGGCGTGGTAGCACTGTGTAAAGCCAAGGTGGGTGGATCCCTTGAGCTCAGGAGTTTGAGACTGCCCTGAGCAAGAGTGAGACCCCCATCTCTACTAAAAACAGAAAAATTAGCTGGGTATTATGGTGGGTGCCTATAATCCCAGCTACTTGGGAGGCTGAGGCAGGAGGACTGCTTGAGCTCACAAGTTTGAGGTTGCTATGGGCTAGGCTGATGCCATGGCACTCTAGCCTGGGCAACAGGATGTCTTTTAAAACAAATACACACACACACACAAAAACCATGAATGCCATTTTCTCTATTTCCCAAGACGAGGCTAACAGCTCAATGGATCAACACAGGAGTTACTCGTAAGTCTTTGTTTAAACTTTTTTTTTTCTGGAAAGACAGGGTCTCACTATGTCACCCTCGGTAGAGTGCTGTAACATCACAGCTCACAGCAACCTCAAACTCTTGGGCTTAAGCAATTCTCTTACCTCAGCCTCCCAAGTAGCTGGGACTATAGCCGCCTGCCACAATGCCCAGCTTTTTTTTATTGTTGTTGTTGCAGATGTCATTGTTTAGCTGGCCCAGGCTGAGTTTCAACCTGCCAGCCTGGGTGTATGTGGCTAGTGCCTTACCCTACTGAGCTACAGGCATCACCATGTTTAAATTTTTAATTCGCCTTTAAACATTCATACTCTTTACTAGTAAGGCAAAAGGGCAGCTCAAGTTCAATCATAATTTCATGGTCAATTACTTCAACATATTCATAATATTAAAAGCTCTAAATGTGTGACTTACATCCAGTGGTTGGGAAGGTATTTTCAGCTTGGTAAGATGTGCTTTGCTGCTGGGCTTCAGCTCAGTCATGCTATTGCCATGGGACTGGCTGCTGTAGTGTTCAGAGGATAGCTTTGGTTCCATGGACTCCTGTCCGTCCATGGGCCGCACATAGGCAGTGGGCTTCTGTAACATTGAACTAGACTTTGACATCAATGAAGGTGGGAAAGACTGATTTGAGTGCTGCCCACTTGAAAAAGGTACACGGGAAGGAGAATCCCAGTTTGCATCAGGGTCCCGAGGTGATTTGGAACGCTGATGTTCCTTGCTATGGTGATCATTCCCATGAGACCTGGAATGACTGGAACTTAATGAAGAAACAGCCTGGGGCTTTCCAGGGCTAGAAGAACGTGTTTTGGAGTATTCTGATCCATGCTGGCCTTTTTTCCGACTACTACTCCCACTACTGCTATATGAGTCACGGTCATGTCTCTGGCTACTACTATTACTGCTGCTACTTCCACCTGCACTGGTCCGCTGGCTACTATGTCCACTCTGTAAGCCTGAGGACCGTTTCTGAGACTGAGAAGTACTGGGTGCAGGTCCTACTGGAGTCCATTTACTACTCTGATGAGAGCCTCCATGTCTCTGTTCAAAGAAATTTGGGTTAGATTTTTCATCTGCTGTTGGTGGCACTGTAGGCTTGGGAATTGCGACAAGTTTTGGTATAGCTCTGTCTCCTATGAAATCCTTCATTTCATCGTAGTTTCCAAGCATACTTTGAATACGACTCGATAACTTATCTTCTTTGCTAGTCTATAAAAAAAAGTAAAATAAAATTATATAATTAGCATTATCAGAAGTAAAATATGCTTCTACATACATTTTTCAAATGTTAAATGGAAAGGAATTTTTCAATGGGAGACTTTATCTCATATTTTAAAGTTAACACCTAGAAGCAAACTCTATAGTCAAAAAAAAAATTCATTTAAAAAGACCTAAAAGGGTGGTGCCTGTGGCTCAGTGAGTAGGGTGCCAGCCCCATATATTGAGAGCGGCAGGTTCGAGCCTGGCCCTCAGCAAACTACAACAACAACAAAAAAACGGCTGGGCATTGTGGTGGGCGCCTGTGCTCCCAGTTGCTCAGGAGGCTGAGGCAAGAGAATCGCCTATGCCCAAGAGCTGGAGGTTGCTGTGAGCTGTAATGCTGCAGTACTCACTGAGGGTGACAAAGTGAAAATTCTGTCTCTAAAAAAGTTAAATAAATAAAAATAAAAAGACCCAAAAATAGCCATGCTAAAATACAAACATTCTATAGGACATTGTGAAATACATACAATATCTTCCAGGAGGAAAAAAATCCAAATTGTACCAATAAACATATTGGCACAGTAGTAAGTCTTTCCAAGAACAAAAAAGTAATCTGGGCCAGGCACAATGGCTCACACCTGCAACTCTAGCACTCTGGGAGATGGACTTCTTAAGCCCAGGAGTTTGAGGTTGCTGTGAGCAATGATGATACCACGGCACTCTACCCAGGGTGACAGAGTGAGACTGTTTCAAAATAAAAAGGTAATCTGCTTTTATATAATTTTCTGGCCAGCAGAACAGCTAGCCAAATATTCTGCCAGCTTATGAAAACATTATACTCCTTATAATTCAATATTATATTTAGAAGAAGCAATAAACATTTAGTGAAGTAAGTTATAACCAACTGACTGACTAGGATAAAAGAAAAAGAAACTGATACTGAAGACACATTTATTCAAATATATTACTACTACATAATCTCAATAGTCTCTAAAACTAAGCATATGGCAAAAAAACAAGGAGAAACAAAGTATCTATAAAACATTCATCTTTGGGAGGCACTTGTGGCTCAGAGGGGTAGGGCACCAGCCCCATATGCCAGAGGTGGCAGGTTCAAACCCAGTCCCAGCCAAAAACTGCAAAAAAAAACCCCATCTTTTATTGATATTACACTAAAAGCCCTAGGAAACAGACAATGCAAACTGAGTCACAGGGTTTTAATTTCATTCCAGGCTCAGAAAGGTGAAATGTCTGCCCATGGCCAGCTGTACAGCTAGAATATAGTAATGAATGTTTGGGTTAATTCAGATCACATTTCAGAGTATAGAACAGCAATGAGAAGGAGGCTGAAAGGACCTTTAGAGTGCTAATAATGCACTATTTCTTGATCTAAGCACTGATTACATGAAGTTGTTTTATGTTGTAAAAGTTCTTCAAGCCATAACACTTATTTTATGTACTTTTCTGTGTACATATTATATTCCATAGAAAGTTTACCCCCCAAAAGTATGTTCTACTTAGAGGACAGGAAACCATATTAAGTGGTATTCATTGTAATTCTTTTCTAATATAAAAATTCAAGTTTAAAACATTTTAAAAGCAAAAATGTCATGCTAATGGGGGACAAAGTTTCAAAGAAGGACAACTTACAACTTTGTATGGCTCAGCAAAGAGAGGAGAGCTAGGTGGGAAGGCGTCTTCGCCCTGCTGAATTTCCTGATTCCGCCTTTCCCGTTCTTTCATACGCAGCACATTCCGGTCTTCACGGTTCATGTTGCTATGAAAAAAAACAAAACAAAACTTTTTTTAATCACAAAAATAAAAGGAAAAATTTTAATTTTCTGTACTGTTTTGTCAATTTAATACTTCAATTGGAGATTCCCTTTTGACTTTCAAGTAATAACAGGCTTTAGTGCTAACGTTGGGTTTTGGCAATAGTTTTATCAACTTGTATCAACCATGTCTTCCACAACTGTCCAGAGAGAAAACATTAGCCCAGAATACTCGAACCCACCCCATCAAACACTTAACCTTAACCTTTTTAAATATTCTGCTAGCTAAAAGCTAAAAACTTATACATTTGAAGTAAAGGTAGTATTTAAACTCAAATCATCATCATTTCCTATAAGCCTTCCATGGCTTTCTCCTCAGAAATCTAACTATCCATTGCCCTCAAAAGCATATAACCCACTCCCATCTACCACCCATTCCCCCGCCCCCGGATTCAGTTCTTTTCTCTACTTTGCATCTACCTTATCTTGATTTCTTTTTGTCCCAAACACAGCTTCCTTGATGTCCATCCTTATGGCAGCTTTGCTGTTGCTCTAGATTCCCTAAAAAACGACATTTCTGCTCTAAATATATTAATATTTCAATTAACACCTCAATAAATGGCAAAACTGAGACTTTCAGTACTAGAATCTAAAACTAACTTGGATTAGTAATTGCAATTAAAATTTTATTGAAAAAGAAGCCTTTGGGAAGGGAAATGGGAATAGCATCTCTAGAATCACAATAGTATGTCATATTTTCACTAGAATAAACAAAAGGAAATAGCTTATTTATAACAACAGGAATTTTGGTTAAATGAACAATGATGATACAGGTTGACAAACCCTGAGACAAAGCAGGGACTCTGCAAGAACCTTCCCTGGTTTTGTTTGAAGAAGGAAAAAACAGTTCTGTTGGAGCCCAATAGGTTACATGAGTGGAGCATTTCTTGCCTATAAGTCATAAATCAAGGCAGGAAATGAAAGTTAATCAAGATTGGGGGAAACTATAATTAATAAAATTAGAATGAGTAGCAAAACCAATACTATCCACTTGAGGATCTTTCATCAGTTGTTAGAAGAGTGAAAGCAACCATCAAAAATAAAGCTTTCTGTGTCCACAATCTAGTTTTACACAAATAAAGCAATTTAATGTTGGGGGAAAAAAAGAATGTTCTAAGGGTTTGAAATGTGTATTCAAATTGTTTTTTACTTGTACAATTTTCTTTTTGATTAATTGATTTATTTTTAATTAATTAATTTTTTTTTTTTTGGCCGGGCTGGGTTTAATCCCACCACCTCCAGTATATGGGGCTGGTGCCCTTACTCCTTGAGCCATAGGCGCCACCTACTTGTACAATTTTCTAATAGCTTTAATAATATAAGCTACTGCAAAGTATAGAAATAGTGTGATTTCTTTCTTTCTAGCACTTAGCACCCTACAGAACCACAAAAGGTATTTTAATCTTTCTTTAATGTAGACCAAAAAAAAAATCTATATTTAAATATTTAGAGAATAAAATCAAAGAACATATAGTCCTCCAGTACATTTGAAGCAATAAATTTACATCACTAACAAGTTTCAAATAGGCCTCTTAAGCTATGATGCTGCCAACAAACAAAATCATTTATATCTGAGTCTTAAGGGCATACTAACTACTAATTTCCTTAAATTTTCCTAAATTCAAATCCTAAAAGATCAGAACACCACCACAAACTTCTTTAAAACATGATTTAATTTTATGTATGAATAGCACAAAAAGAAACATTTGTCCAACCTGGGAGGCTGAGACAAGAGAGTCACTTGAACCCAAGAGTTTGAGGTTGCTGTTTGAGCTATAATGTCATGGCACTCTACCAAGGGTGACCAAGTGAGACGCTGTCTCAAAAAAAAAAAAGAAAGAAACATTTGTTATAAAAATAGATAAAGGGCAGCGCCTGTAGCTCCGGCCCCATATACTGGAGGTGGCGGGTTCAAACCCGGCCCTGGTCAAAAAAAAAAAAGAAAAAAAAACAACCAGATACAATTCCCACAATAAAATTCTTTCTATAACCCAATAGCAAAGAAACTTTCTTAAGCAATGAAAGTGATCCAACTGATTGTACCCTTTTAAAATGGCTTCTAGGAAGCTCAGTACCAAATTAACTCAAAACTATAAGAATTAATATCCCAGTTTCAGCCTTATTCTCTTTTTGACCTGACTTTTAAAAAAAATCTCATTTATGGCTTCCTTTTTTTTTGAGACAGAGTGCAATGCTATTGCCCAGGTTTAGAGTGCCTTGGCATCAGCCTAGTTTACAGCAACTTCAAACTCCTAGGCTCAAGCAATGCCCCCCGCAGCAGGCTCCCTAGTAGCTACAGGCACCTACCACAATGGCCAACTCAATTTTTTTTTCTATTTTTAGTAGAGACTTGGTTTGTCCCAGCCAATCTTCAATTTCTAAGTTCAAGGGTCCTCCCATGTCGGCCTCCCAGAGTGCTAGGATTACAGGCAAGAGCCACCAGACCCAGCCTCTTCTGTGTTTGACATCATTATCTTGCCTGAAATAAAGTTTGTCCCCAAAGCAATTAATTTCAATAATCTGAACTCCCCTAAACTTAACATGAAATTAAATCAATAGCCATTGGGGGACTGTGTGGCCAATGCAACCTTTAGCCCCTCTCCCTAAAGGTGGGGGGGGGACAATGAGTTCCAATCCTCAGAGCACTAGATTTGTTTCCCCAGCAACCATACCCGCCCCACCATGGGATTATCTCGGGAATTAAAAAAAAAAACTCACCTCATTAACATAAGCTCAAGTGTGAGTGAAAGAGGTTTATTATAAATAACAAAAAACTGAACTGTACACTTACAAACAAGAGAATTATATATGGACTGTAAATTATACCTCAATAAAGTTTTTTAAAAAAAAAGAATAGAGGTCAAGTGCAATGGCTCATACCTATAATCCTAACACTCTGGGAGGCCAACGTGAGTGGATTGCCTGTGCTCAGGAGTTTGAGAACAGCCTAAGCAAGAGCAAGATCCATTTCTAAAAAAACAGCTGGGTGTCCTGGTAGGTGCCTGTAAGTCCCAACTACTTGAAAAGCTGAAACAAGAGGATTATTTGAGCCCAAAAGTTTGAGGCTCCTGTGAGCTTTGATACCATGGCACTCTACCGAGGTTGACAAAGGAAACTCTGTCTCAAAAAAATACATAAATAAAATAAAATTTAAAAGAGTAAAGAGGTGAGGTTGGCAGTGCGGGGTTTAAGCAAGAGGAGTGATCATGTTGTACAAACAAACTTACTATTCAGACAAATAAGACGACAAGGAGTTCGAGTACCGGCATGTCATGTTGCCCAAGGATATAGCCAATCTGGTCCCTAAAATACATTTGATGTCTGAATCTAAGTGGAGGAATCTTGGTGCTCAGCAGAGTCAGGGATGGGTCCACTATATGATCCATGAACCAGAACCTCACATCTTGCTGTTCTGGCACCCACTACCCAAGAAGCCAAAGTAATGAAGCTGCCAAGCCACTTTTCAGACTGAAGCTTTAAACAGCTGTTCTTTCTAATATCTTTCTGATAACATTATTACATTGCCTTCTTGTTTCTCACTTTCTTCAATACACTGTTTGAATGTGCTGGTTACTGCTTTACTTCCTGAGTAGAAAGGAAGTATGATGGCCAGTCACCACAGCCCAGCCAGATAAGGACCACAGCCTCAGGGGAGTGTGGCCCCAGAGCCACCTTATGCTCTGTGTCCAGAATGCACTTGGAGATAGAGTGAATATCTGAGAATAAGACCACGGCTGTTACAGGGATTGTGTCAATTTGATGTTTTGTTTTTTCCTGCTGGGTGTTTTATGTTTGGTGAGTTACGGATTTGTTTCAATGTATTGGAAACTTTCCATTTTATTCAAAAAAATCTGTTTCATGTTTAAAAGTCTTGATTAAAGAAGAAGTTTTTATAATCTTAAAAAAAAAAGAATAAAGAAAAACCGGGCTCTCTCAGAAAAAAAAAAAAAAAAGATAAAGAAGAAATATTATTGGCTTGAAAATAATCTTTGATTACTACCATTTATCCACATTTCCTCAGTCATCCTGACCTTACTGATGGGTTTCAGACCAATATACCCCTTTAAATAAGTTCCATTTATCTCTTTAAACTTTTTTTGACTTCCAGACTTACTTCTATTTCTAAAGTGGCTATGTTGGGCTGGGCATGGTGGCTCATGCCTGTAATCCTAGCACTCTGGGAGGCCAAGGTAGGTGGACTGCCTAAGCTGGCAGGTTCAAGTCCAGCCTGAGGTAGAGCGAGACCCTGTCTCTAAAAATAGCTGGGCATGTGGCAGGCACCTGTATTCCCAGCTACTTGGGAGGCTGAGGCAAGAGAATCACTTAAGCCCAAGAGTTTGAGGTTGCTGTGAGCTGTGACGCCACAGCACTCTACCAAAGGCGACATAGTGAGACTCTGTTTCATAAAAAACTAGGGATAGGGCTCAGTACTTGTGGCTCAAATGGCTAAGGCTACCAGACACCTAAGGTAGCAGGTTTGAATCCAGCCCGGGCCCGCCAAACAACAATGATGGCTGCAACCAAAAAAATAGTCAGGCGTTGCAGCAGGCGCCTGTGGTCCCAGCTACTTGGGAGGTAGAGGCAGGAGATTCACTTGAGCCCAGGAGTTGGAGGTTGCTGTGAGCTGTGATGCCACAGCTCTCTACCCAGGGGACAGCTTGAGGCTGTCTCAAAAAAAAAGAAAAAACTAGAGATAGAAAGGAACTTTCACAACCTAACCAAAGAAATCTACAAAAAACTCACAGCTAACATCATACTTAATGGTGAGAGACTGAATGCTTTCCCCCTAACAGCAGTTTTCAACCTATGGGTCGCGACCACTTTAGGGGTGGAACAACCCTTTTACAGGGGTCGCCTAAGACCATCCTGCATATCAGATATTTACATTACGATTCATAACAGTAGCAAAATTACAGGTATGAAGTAGCAACAAAAATAATTTTAT